AAAAAACACCATAGCACCACCGAAGCCCCCCTCTCTCTGAGAGAGAAAGAAAGAAAAGATAGACAGGCTGAGAAGAGAGCCAAAAAAAAAGAAAAGAAAAGAAAAATTCGCTCTCCCTCTTTCGAAAATAAACACAGCTTTTGGATCTATATATCCTTTCTCTCTTAGCTTTCAGTTCGTAGATATTGTTTTCTTTTAATCTGTTGGTCTCCACCTATTTGCTATTCCCATCTTTAGTAGTTATTATTATTGTTGTTTGGTACCAAGAAACCATGAGGATTCGGAAGAACGCGAAGCTATCATCGCAGATATACCCGCAGGGTTCAAGGCCTGAGAGTGTGCACGTGTGCCAGCTGAACCAGTCGCCATGGGATGTGATTCCTTTTGCTCAAGAACCATACCCATCGTCTCTTCATCACCAGGTAACACTTTGCTCTCTTTATTTTTTCTCTTTTAAATAATTCTTTCGTTTCTCGTGGCAGATCTACTTACTCTTTCCTCAGTCTTGCCTCCATTTCATCTTCCTTTGCCTGACATTTTATCTTTATCCCTCCCTTTCTTTTAGGGTTTTTCCCATTTTAGGGTTTCAAGAAAACCCTAAATTCTCTCCTTCTTATCGTGTATTTTCCTCCAAATAGTCGATTTACGTTAATGGGTCCTCGTCATTTCTGTGTATTATTTTCGGGTTCGGGTTTTCATTTGTTTGCTTGGTTCGTTTATTCTTTTTTTCTCTTAAAACCCAGTTTGATGCTGAAGATAGCTTTAATGGAAATGGGAGCTTAGGCGATTCTATTGGTGCTGTTGAGAGGTAATCTACTTCATAGTCTTCGATTCGAATCTCTTTTATCAATCGGTGTCGTGGTATTCTATTAGGGTTTTTGTTGTTCGTTTTTAAATAGTGGAATAATTATCCAAAAATTTGTTGATGGGTTGGCGAGTTATTGAAAACCCAGTTTGTGTTTTTTCTGCGGCTGTTGAAAAATGTTGCGATGTTACTCGAAATGCAGCGTAGCGTCGATGATGGAGAGTGAAGAGAAAGCGATAATGAAAGTGGAAGGCATGGTCATTGACGATAATGACGATAACGATGAGATGAAAATAGGCAGGCAATTTGGGTTTAAGAGCCAATGCGAAGAGGAGGAGGAGGAGGAGAAGGAGGAGAAGCAAGAGGCTTTGCTGAAATCTTGCAACAACAACAACAACCACAGCAGCGATAGTGGAAATAATCCCAGCTCGTTGACCAGCAAGAAAGCTGAGAAGAATGGTCAAGTAACCGGGAGCCGCCGCGGGCGAGCCCGAGCAGCCAAGAAAGGCTCGTCATCAGCATCGAACCCGTATGAATTTTACTATTATTCTGGGTTTGGGCCGTTGTGGGGGAAAAGAAGAGGCGGCAGCGATAGAGCAGGCGAAATAAGCAAGGATATTGAGGCTAAAGAAGTTGAAAACAACAGCAGCGCTATCACTACTCAAAACAATACTACGCCGTCGTCTTCTTCGCAAATCGATAATGATGAAGAATTTGATTATGTCGATGATGAGGATGATGAGGACGACGAGAACGGAGACAGTGGCAAGAAACGAATGAGGAAACCTGTTAAAGCAAGATCGTTAAAATCCCTAATGTGAAGAACACCAAAAACAAAAGGGTTTGGGCTCCTCTTCCTTTGTTCCTTTTTTCCATTTCCTCTTTTGCGTTTAAATGTGTTGAGATTATCGTATTTTTCATTACTTTGTTTTTCTCTTTTTTATTTTTAGGGTTTTAGATTAAGTAATTTAATTTTCCTTCTTTTTTTTTTTTTTCCTTTGGTTGGGGGTGTGGGGGTTTTGTTTTGTATGATGTTGGGTTTTGTTGTGGGTGAGACTAGAATTTGCTCTGCCAACATGACAGTAGGAGATATTGTAGGGTGTGGTTCGCGTGGACCGAAAAGGGGGCATGTTAGTCAATGTCGGGAAATGGAAGGGCGGTTTTTGTAATTTCAAACGTGCTTTTATCTTTTCCCTTTAAAAAACACCCAAACAGGGGTCGCGTACATCTTTAAAAGGTTGTGGTGATGTGGCGCTGTGGGATTCTTGTGACTAAGTTTGTCCAAAACGGCGACTGTTTGAGAAATTATTTTCCCATGCACATTAAATTACAAATACCCAATTTAATTTAATTTAATTTAATGCTCTTCGGCTTCTGCTTTGCCCATGATTCCATTTTCAGCATGCGGAATTTGGATTTCTAAATCTAACAATTTGTAAATCATACTATAAATTGTGTAATTTCGATTGGTTTCATGAGAAATTGAAACGATGAAATATCGATATTATTGTTGTATTTCGCATGTGGTATTGGTAGGCTCTATGATAAATCCCCTACGGTTTGCTAATGCCCACTGCAATGGTGAAGCTCCTAATTCACTTTTTTTAAAAAAAAATTTCAAGATGAATTTATTTAAATTTGAAATGAAAACTTATGTGTAACTGCATATATATATAAGAAATCTACGTTCTCTTATCTAAAATTGAGTTTCAACCTTAATTTTTTTACTTCAAAATTATTAGAGTTGTTTTTCTATTTTTTTTTTTTCAATTTAAAGATAAACTTTATTGAAACTTGATATGAAGGGTTGCGTGTAATGAATATAATATAAGAAATCAATGTTATCATATTCAAAATGAGTTTTAATCTTAATTTCATTACTTCAAAATTATTAGAGATTTTTTTTCTATTTTTATGCAATTTAAAGATGAATTTTATTCGAATTTGGCATGGAAATATTACATGTAATGAACATAAATAAATATATATAAGAAGTCTACATTGTCATGTCTAATAATGAGTTTTAATTTTAATTTCCTTAAGATTTTGAAGATGATTGTTATCAGAAATTGATATGAAAAGTTACGTGGAATGAATATATATAAGAAACCTACAATATCATGTCTAAAAATGAGTTCCGCTTTTAATTTCCATACCTTTTTTTTTTTGGGTAAATTTTAAAGATGAATCTTATTGAATTTGATATGAAAAATTACGTGTAATGAATACATGCAAGACATCCATGTTGTCATGTTTAAAAATGACTTTTAAATATTAAGATACAAATTTTCTTTTAGCCAATGGCAATAAAATTTGTTCACACTTTACTTATTGCTAGATTTAGTTATTTTCTTGGCGTGCAAGACTTCCATGAATTAGTACGAAGAATTTACAACATTTTATTTAATTAAAAAAGTTTGAAATGGAAAATTACATGAAATAAATATATTCAAAATCTACATTGGCATATTTATAAAAAAATTTCAAATATTAAGAATCAGTATAATGAAAAATGGCGCAATAATAATTATGTTTTGGAGTCAACAGTAATAAAATTTATTGATATACAGTTGCTTCGGTTGTCAAATTTAATAATGGTGTAGAATCTAAAAAAGTTATTGAACTATCTATAAAAATTTAAATAAATTTTTATAATTATTAATTAATTATTAATAATAAAAATAATATTTATCAATATATATCATATGACGTTGACATATCATAATACATGATGATATGATATGACATGATCATATGATGTGTTAATATAGTTAATTTCAAGTGAACATAAAATAACAAAAAATTAACTATCAATTATAATAATTTGTTTAATCAAAAACATGTAACATAGTGAAATTTTGCTTATTTGTTTATTATTAGTAGACATTGGTAGGATTAGAGAGGAACAAAAAGTGCAAGTTGCAACTGATATTTCATGCATTTTCAATGCCTTGAACAAATTGAAATTGTTTTTCTTTTTTTTTTTTGTATTTTCAAATTAAATTTTACCTAAATTTCTTTTTTTTTTCACCCTCTTTTTGAAAATATTTTTATCCACACCAAGAAGTCTCTTTTTTTCCTTTTCAACCAAGGAAAAGGAAAAAGAAATCCAGACCCGACTCATGGATTTCATGCACGCTCGATGAACGCGCGTGGAGAGACCACTCTTGATCTCATTTGAAAAGTAAATTTTTCTTTTCCTAAAATGCTACAAAGCTCAGAAGATAATTATAATAATGCTAAAATGAAATGTGTAGGTAGTGAAAGGTCAATGTCACGCCGTACTTTGGTGATCAGACGTACTCAAACTCATTGAAACTTGTTGTCCTGTGAGGATGGGATTGGCTGCTACACTTGATTTCTTTTATATATCGGTTGACTTTTTTTTTTCTTTCTATTTTGTACTTTGAAGATCAAATACTGTCAAACTGCGTTCGTTTTGCTTGTTTCCTACGATTCTACATTTTGCGTTAGGATTCAACATAGTATAAAAATAAAATGGAGACAACGTCATTTTCAACAGGTTAAGTTTATAAGATTTTGAATTAATATATATTTCATAAAGTCGACCGAAATGTAAGCTTTTTAATGAAATAAACAAAAAATGAATTAATATTCGATGCAGTTATAATGTTTAATATATTATCAGTTAATCAAATATTATCATTTTATTAATAAAATAAATTTAAAAAGAAATAAAAATTTATAATTTTAAAATTTTTAAATATTTATCTGTGCATATTTATAAAATCATATTATATGTTGAAGTGATACTGTATAGATACAATATAGTGATGAAATATAAGCTTATGACAAATTATATATTTACACTTTAATTTGGCATTGAAATAATTTGTTTACATCAAAATTTTTTTATCATATTTACATATATATATAATTTAATTGGGACAACTTAATCACAACCAGGGAGCGACATGCTATTTGATATTCCTAAACTTGGGGGAATTATTCAGCTAATTACGGAAAAATTTACTAAACATACAACTAATTTATCACTAACCCAACAGAAATTAACTAGTTATTATATGATTAACATTCCATAAAAGGCCCGCGTGGCCAAAACAAAAGAAGTTGAAAAATTAAAGACATCAAACAAGAAAGACAAGACCGAACCAGAGACTGGAAATCTTGTCTGAGTTTCTAATGGGTCGATTCCATTTCGAACGTTGTTCTGTGTTTTTTCCCCTCTCGCTTTTCTCCTAGCTGTACTTGGCGTTTCCCTCAGTTTTCTACATATTCTTCTTTCTCACGCTGTATATTCATTCAAAGACGGACGGACAACGAAATCTACAGTGATTCGAATTTTTGAGCTTGTTTGATTTCATCGTACCTTGTGGTGTCTTTTGATTCTTGTTCTTTAGCATCTGAATTCAGGGACGATGGGTTTCCAAGATAGGTATGACAAAATGGTGGTTCGTCAGAGTTACAGGAATGTCTGGCATACTAGTCTCATGGACGCCATCACATTTGATCTTCCCTGTAATCATATATTTACCCTTCTCCCCCCCACATTTCTTTTTCTTCTTCGTTTGTCTCTGTTTGGCTCCAAGGACAACAAAATGAATGTTTGAAATTCGTCGTCCATGCACGAATGTTTTTGTCTTTCAGGTTATTTATGTTTCCAAATGGAAAGGTTTACGTGCTTCTTTTTACCGTATCAAAAATTGCTTTGCTTAGTGTATTCCCTGCTAAAAAATGTACGTAAGAGAAAGAGGGAATGAAAACAGGACAGAAACAATCATCTTTCTGTTTTTATTTTGTTTTTTTGGATCACATGGATTCATTTTATTATAAATCAGAAAATTTAATTAAACATGAAGTTTATGTTAATATTAAATAGATCGAAACTAAATTTATCATCTTCTTAATAAGAAACTGTTTGAATATCTTATAAAACAAAACAGAGGACAGAAAAATCATTTAGTACCAAACTAGATTTACATTTTGAGCTTAATACTTGCTTACGAGAATAGGTAACCGGTTGAAAATTTTTTTCTTGGTATGAATTTCATTTTCCAAAAACTTGTTTCTAGAGATATTCTGTTAATTTTTTTTGTAATTAAATTGGATATCTCATTGCATTTTCATTTTCCTTGCAGACTGCCTCTATGCAGCATGCTGGTGAGTTTTCTGTGTCACCCTAGATGCTATTTTCTGCTTTCATTTTTTTTTCTCATATTCTTTTAACACCATTGAGTATTATATAGTTTATTATGAATTTATTTGAGTTTTAATTAAGCCATAATAGAACAAAAATCGGTTTGTTTCGATTTAGACTAAGAATAAACTTAAAGCCATGCAAAATAACCCAGAAATTCTATTATCTGTAAACTAGAGACTGAGAAGAATAACAAATCAAAACCTCAAATCACTTTTTTTGTTTTTTTAAAAACAAGAATATATAAACAAATCCCACAACCCAAACAGCAAAAGGAGAAGGATGGAAGAAGAAAGAGCTGCTGAGTCTCTGTTCCATCTTCCAAATCTTTTGATTCCTTTGCAGTCTTAAAAAGGCAAACTCAAAAGTAATATGTTTCCAACCTGAAAAACGGCCGTTGCGGATGGGATTCCGAATCACGGTGAAAAATTGAGGTCGGGGTAGCCTGAAAATCCGTTTTCAGTGCCATGGATCAGATGCCACCTATGCCTAACGCTCCGTCTTTCGTGAATGACAGCCCCCAGTGCGTTTCATATATGCTGCGGAAACGAGCTCTTTACGATGACATGTCCAGGTAAAAGGGATGTCGTAACTTTTACAGCTCTATCATCAGACCAGAATGCGAAAGTGCAAAATTTAGTTTACTACATCATGGATTTGTGTTCTAACTTTAATGTTGTAGGTACCAATGTTGTGGGGGTTACATGCCTTGCAGCGGCAAGCTCGGGGAAAGCCAATGTCCTGAATTTTGTCTATGCACTGAGGTAGAAGGAAAAGCCCCTATAGTATTCTTCTTGTTCCCGGATTTGACCAGAAAACGAGTCTGATTCTGTTCCCATTCGTTCTAGGTTGTCTGTTGCTTCTCAAATTCAGTTGCTTCAACTCGCTTTCTTCTTCAAGATGAGTTCAATATACAGACCACGAAATGTGACAACTGCATCATTGTAAATCTCTCTGTCTTTTTCTATCGATTATTGGCTTTTTCTTGGGTGTTTTGCTGATAAAGTCAAACGTATTTTGCAGGGATTTATGTTCTGTCTTGCACAAATTGCATGCATATTCCGTCTGATTGCTGTTATTAGTGGAAGCGATGAGCTTGAGGATGCCTCAGAGATATTAAACTGTTTCAATGAAGCAGTTTATTGCACGTAAGACATTTGATTTACCCTTTTGAATGCCTTCTGCTAAGGGTTCCTTAAAAGAATTTCTCTTGATCTTTTGTATTGTTTTGTTTTGTAGGGTCTGTGCTTGTATGCAGGTAAGCAATAAACAAAGTGCTTGTAAAGAGCTTACGCCGATGCAGAACACAGTGAACCAGCTTAGATAGACGCTTGGCCTTAGAAAAAGAACCTAGGCTAAGGTTTCCAAATTACAAGATTTATTTGCTTTGACCCTTCCAACTCTTATTTTTTACCATGTAATAATGCAGGCTCAGCACAAGATTGAAATGGACAAAAGGATGGTAAATTCGGGTCTGCACCGATTATGGTGGTTCCTCCAGTGCAGCAGATGTCACGGATTGATCAGCCAGTGCCTCCAGCTGTTGGATATCCACCTCAACCACAGCAGTGGCAGCCGCCCTATGGCTATGCATGTCCGCCACCTATCCCAGGCTACGCTGGCGCTGCACACCCACTACCCCCTCCTGGTTACCCAGCTAATGCTTCTCTAGTACCCGCTCCAGGTTACTTTCCTCCTGGATACCTGCCACCTACTCAACATTTGCCTTCTACAGGATATCCCTCTCCTCCTCCTCCTCCTCAAGGTTATCATAAGTGATCTAGATAGTAATACATGTTCAAATACATGTAATCTGAATGCTGAAATTTGGATTGACTCGTTGTTCACTTTCTCCTCAACCGCTGTGATATGCATTGGAAATTTTACTACACGGAAAAGTATGTGCATTTTTTTTCTTTCTGTTTCTATCAGATTCATATCTGAAAGAAGTTTTAGCCCTGGGTAACAGCATATCATAAAGTCTCCTCTATTATTCTGCACCTGTCAGAAGCACCTGCTCAAATGTTAAAAGGAATTAACATATACAATAAATACTTCATTGTTGAAAATGTATCTCTGTGATCCTTTTTCATCAAATAAATCTCAATCGTTAAATCCAAGTAGGAAAGATATTATTCCATTGCTACCGTGAATTACAACTGAACCATATAATGTCTGATCAAAGCCGAACCACTGTTTCATTGCTGGCAAATACTTCATAAATTTACGGCCGCTGGTTACCATTTCGAGTCGTTTCTGGAACCATGGTATCACCCTCATCATCATCCAAAATCCCATGACTTTGCATTCGTGATAGCTGCTGAAATTTTGGAGCGCTTTCTTTCCTACCGAATAGTTTCTTGACATATATAGCACCCCCTGCTACTGCTCCTATTGAAAATGAAATGGCCACAACCACCACAATCCACTGTGAAAATGAACCATAGATTATATTCTGCCAGGTCAGGAGTGAAAGAAACGGCAGGGAGAGATGAATCATACTTACACTTGTACCGCTATTACTGATTCCCCAATGAGGCAATTGAGACATAGTCGAATTCATAAAGGAATCTGCAACGATTTGTAATATGTTAGAGCATATAGATAAACAAAGACTTCAATTAACTAGCCATGCTCTTTGAAACTTTAGAGCATCATGTAAGAGATTGACATCCCCTGTCACAATTTATTTTTGCCGAGAGGGTTAAAAACTATTAACTAAATCCAAAATGAAACATGAAAATGGATTAGAGCGGTAACTATGTTCATAGGACAGAATCCATGTAACACCTAGTATTCAAAACGTGAATATTAGGGATCATTGACTTTATTAATAAAGCATAAAACCTTTGTAAAATCTGGTATTTAATTCTTTCAAACTCATCAAGACAATGCTCTTTAAGATGGGTAACACAAGGAAACAAACAGAAAGAGAATCAGATCATAAGCAACGTAGGAGAAGAAAGTTGACCTGTTCTGTTTTTTGTTGGGAGGGAACAATCAACACTTCCTTTCCAGTGAAGCGAACACTCGCATACATCACTTTCGGCCAGGCATTCAGCTTCATGGAAACAGAATATCCTACCACAAGGAGCTCCGCGATGCTCACAACGCTCTCCAGCATATCCTGGAGGACATTTGCAGGAGTAATCCTCACCCTGAACAATCTCTTCACAGATCCCACCGTTTTGACACCAAAAAGAATTTGTCCCATCACACATTGTCATCGCTTCATCACAGTATTCCCCCCTGTAGTTGACAATAGCAGAACAAACATTTACCAGAACTACTTTGATGACTTCACCAAGAAGCGTCCTAATAATCAAAACACAAAGAAGATGCAGATGGTTCAAGAGTTTGAAGATGTTGAAATTACCCGAGGAAAGGACGATCACCATCCAAGATGGTGGATGGATCAGGGAGATTGCAAATGCAAGCACCGGTGCTGTTGCATGATCCAGTTTTGCATCTACTGCCTTCACATGGTAGAGAATGTACGTTCAATGATCCAAGCAACAAAGAGATCACTATGACAGCTATATGCATAAATTCTATACTGATGGACATTTTAAGATTCAGAGATGGAAAGAGGGAGAATGTTGATAGAGGTTAAGGGTTGTAAAGTTTTCTTCTCTTTGTTTAGTTTTGAAGCAATGCAATGTGGAGATTTGCGAAAGAGCCTTTGAGTTTAAGCAAGGGTGTTGGAGAAAAGAAATAATAGGCATGTTAGTTGCAACGTGAAAGTGAAGTTGAAACTGTAATAGGAAGTGTTAGTTAAAATAACATACGTTGGGTTCATGTTGTGTTTCGTCCATGAAACCGTGGTTAGAATATTTAGGGAACTGCTGTCATTTAGGAAGGGGTTTTCTGTCAATAGAACTCACTGGCGCTAGGAAAGTCAAACAATGCAGGCTATGGCAAGTAGTTTATTAGGGTATTGGATCAAACGAAGTAAACAAAATGAACGGTTCACTTTTCACATATGTCGAGGTTGAACACTTAAAATGAAGTACGTTTGCGGCTCGGCCTAGGCCCTTTTTGTCTCTGCTGGCGACAATTTGGACTCAGTTCAACCACATGTTGGGCCACGTGGCTAAACCTATCTTGCAGAACTTGTTAGAAGCACACCATTTTCCAGCTTAAGGAAGCCCCATAGCCAATTCCAAGCTGCTCCGATTTGTTTGAAGATTTACGAAGTAAGAGGGATGATCAAAAATAGACAACTAGATCGCTATCACATTAAAGTGAAGGCACCCAGCTTTGGGCTAAATCTTTTTGATAGATTTACTTTCTCCTTTAATAAAAGGGTAAAGGTTAGATAAAGAAAGTTAGCAGATTCACTTAGGATCCTTCAAAATTTTTTATTTTGTCTCCCTCAAAGTTGAAACAAAAAGGGCCAGCTGAGTCCTGTTAATCCTGTGGTATTGGGAGATGGCAGGAAGGGCCCCCTACCCGTAGACATGGTTCAGGCCATCAAGGGGACTGATTCAGAATTTCAGATTCCACGCTAAAAACCAGCTGCATTTTGATGTCACTTTTTTACAGTGTTACAGTGCTACAGAGCCAGCATGGAATTCAAGCCTTAGGCAGTTAAACAGAGCCTGAGAAAAAGATGGGTCGAGCACAGAATCCAACTTCAGTAAAATCATCATACGGAAAAGCAATATCAATGCACCCCCACCAGGCCACCTATTTCACTTGCTCAAAACTTTTTACCAGTCTGTAACAGATCAGTATGAGATGACAAAAACCTGCAGTTGATCATCACTGCCGAAGTTTCTGCAAAGTAACAACTTCTACAAGACTACAAGTTGTTCCCAAATGCCCACATAGTAAATCATTAAAACAGGAGTCTCTCTTTTGATTCCTCGGGCTAAACTAAACCCTAAAAAGGCTTCAAAAAGAGCCATCTAATACAAGAATATTATAATAAAATCATACCAGCACTGGGTTTTGCGAATTGAACCTCAAATTGAATTGAGAAAAGGAAAAGGAAAACTATAAATAAACATCATCTCTCTCTGTTTTTTTTTTTTTTTTTGTCATCAGTCTCATGTTCACTGTTCAGTTACAGACAGTGACAAGATCCTAACAAATCGGTCAGCCACCTGCTTAACAAACCCCAACCCCCCAAAGTTGATATATTAATAATTTAACGTATGGTCCAAGAATCTCTTTATTAAAAGGAAGCTAAGAATCCAACCAGAAAACCATAGCATCATGGCCTTTAATGACAACACTGTTAAAGCTCAATTCACTCACAGACACACATCCACTCCTCATAAGCAAATTATAGCAAAAATTTTAGATAAAAGATCTTTGCAGTTGAGCCCAAAAATTGTAGGAGAAAGTACAACAAAGATAGGTAACAATCTCATTTCATTCCAGCAAATTCCTAGCTGTAAAGTGCACCCTTCAACTCTTTCAATTAACTAGACTCGAAATTCAACCTAAATAATTTTATATAAAACTAATAACAGGTTGTAGATTGATTGATATTCATTTCTCAACCTGAGAAACAATTCAAACAAAGCATAATTGTAGCATTCAAACTGTAAGAACTGTTTATGCAAAACTTTTTATCTTTTTTTTTTATTGGCTATGCACCAACTTGTCATGTAATATGTACACTTTTCACTAAGCTCATTACAAAAAAAAGGCCATCGGATAAAACAAAACAAGTACCGGCCCCTCCTTCCCCGCCTAATGAAAAATCTACAATCCCGGAACCGAACTGTACTCACTGTAAAAATCACCGACCCCGGAAGCAGCCCAGAGCCGTTGATTAAACTCATCCTGCAACTCATCAGGAACAAAGGGTGTCCTACAAAGCGGACAAGTTTTCTGATCATGGTCCATCCAACGGTCCAAGCACGCCCTATGGAAAACGTGCCTACAGTTCCTCAACCATCTGATCTCTTCCCCACCTTCGAACTCGTACAAGCAAACGGCACAGCTCTCCGGCGGGTCCCCCACGACGACAAGTTCCTCGAACTTTATAACGGGGAGGATTTCCCGGATCAGGAGAGCGGATACGGGCGGGTTCTCGGGGGTTGTTCGGGTCGGGTTCTCCGGCCAGACGGTATCTGTCTCGAGGAAATCGGAGAGTCCGAGGTAGCTAAAGAGGGCAAAAATTAGACTTCGGATGAAACCCAGGAAGGAAAGTGTGTGGACGAAGAGTTTTGGTAAGAAAACTTCCGTGTAACCAACCGGAAACCCCATGAAGGATAATTTTAACAAAAAAATGACCTTAAAATTACGAAGAGAAAGCTTTTGCTTACGTATTTATAGAGAGAGAGTTGAGAGAGAAACGAGGGAGGAGAAGAGGAAGCTTCTCTGCTGGACTGCCTTCAGCCATGGGTTCGTATGCAAATTATAGTACATGCTAATAAGAGAGTGATTCAGTCACTGACTGTGACATGGGTGGATAGATTGGATTGGTGGGTGAGGTAGAGTAGGCAGCGGGGTGATGGTGACATTAGGAGTAAAGGAAGGCTGCGTTTGGGGGTACCCTCTTTAAAAAAAATAATAAATAGAGCGAGGACGGTGAGTGGGAGGAATCTCTGGGGAGAGTGGGAAAATGGCACACGTGTCACGTGGTGTAAATGGAAGGAGTGGGGAAGTGGAACTGCAATAGACGCGGGGACGCCTAAACAACAATCATCAGCATCAGCATCAGTATCAGCATCAGCAATTAAGCATTCGGTGCAACATCTCTTTTTCTTAATAATTATCTTTGCACAATTGAGTCTATCTGCGAGGATTAAATAATAAATTAAAGGATTCATTAAGTTTAGTCTTTGTTTATTTTATTCTAAATTTTTACCATGTGTTTCTAGTGCTCCTAATCATTGGATTTGATTCTTAAACATTTTCACACACACGAACCAAAAAAAAAAGCAAATTTAATTTGACTTTTCCCTATACTACTTAAACATGTATTAATTCGAAGTTGATGAATTAAGCTTCAATCCTTTTAAAGGAAGATAACAATCATAAAACCAAACCTGAATGATTTACAATTAAAATATTTTAATAAATAAGATTTGATTAATTGTGTAATTGTTGCATTTCAATATAGATTAAGGTGAAAATTCTCACTACATATGATTTAATATTAAATCTCATCACTACACCCACCGATGTTGTTGATTAATCATGTATTCCGATGAACCTAAATGATAAGTTTTCATTAATTAGTAAAATTGAAATTGTTATGTGAAAATGTAATATTAATTTATAATCTTAAATCGAATTTATAATAAATATATGAAATTTAGTAAATTACGTCAGAATCATTTATTTAGAGTTTGAACCAGTCAGGAAGTGTGTATGGAATGAATGGCTGATGCAGATAAGCAGAGAGAGAGCGTACGGCCGTTATAAATTTTTAACTTTGGAAATGATTGAATATTTTAATAAGGGACCGCCGTGTGTTATGATGCAAGGCCTACTCAACGCTAGCTAGAGCTTCGATCGTCTCTACCTGACATCTGGATCAATTAATTAATCTAAAAGCGGTGAAAAAAGGCAATAATTTCTCAGAAAACAAGGATTTCAAAGCTGCAAGCACAATTATTATTTTTTTATCACTTCCCATCACTAATCATTGTTTGCACGACTTCCTCCTCTTTGTTTTGGATTTTCTTCTTCTTTTTCGTTTCTCACACGGTTCGGTTGCTAATTACTGACGTTGTCTTCTTTCCTCTTTTGCTTTCAGATTTTTATATACGCTCCAAACGGCATGGTTTGTCGCTTTATTTTCTTTTATTTGTTTATTTTATTATATAATATTTAAAAAATATATATCTCTATAATTTAAAAAATTTAAAAAATTATTACTTTTATTATATTTAATAAATTTTATATGATTAATTATTAATTATTTATTATCAATCAAAATATTATTTACTTTTTTCACATTATATGATATTGATATAAGATGATGAAAATTCACACAATTATATTATCATGTTATGTTACATTTATTATAATTTATTAATATATAATATCAATACGAAAAATAAAATAATAAATGATGTTATGTTATTATTTATTATAATTTATCAACGTGTCATATTAACATCATGTGAAATAAAATAATAAATGATATTTTAATTAACAACTATTAGTTAATTGTTTGTCATAAAAGCTTGTTTGATTTAAAATAAAATGTACAATGCTTAAATAAACTCTTAAATTATTTAAAAAAATTTAAATAGCTTTTATTCTTTTATTACGTTAAATTAAATTTTTATATTTTTATTTTGAATCAAATAAGTTTTTATGATTAATGATTAACTAATTATCATTAGTTAAAATGTTACTTATTATTTTACATCAATATGGCATTAATATAGAGTCAATATAGAAGGTAAAAAAAGTCACATGATCTTATTATCATGTCAAATTATTATGTTACATTATCATCAATTATGGTATATCAGCATGTCATATCATTGTTAATTATAATATATTAACGTACCACATTAGCATTACGTATTATATAATGACAAATGACATTTTAATAAAGGTAATAATTAATCATAAGAGTTTATTCAATTTAAAATAAAAATATAAAAACTTATTTAATTCAAAATAAAAATATAAAAATTTTTTTGAATTTTTTTGAATATTTTATTAACTTTTTTAAATATTATACAAAAATAAAAATATAAGAGATAGAAGAATGAAGATTTATTAATTTTTTTAAAATAATTTAAAAACTTTTTTAAATATTATGTCTTTTTTTTCAAATAAAATATTTATCATTTTATCTTGAGATGTTTATTTTATTTTAAATAAATTTCTTTAATTCCTTTCATAAGTTTAAAAGAAAAAGTTAATGATTCTAGTGATGTCACGATAATTACAAATTAGTGTGTCATTATTAAATCATTAAATAATCCCATGCCTAGATGCTTAATATATAATAATAAAGTGGGTGGAAGTTAAGGTAGAGGTCTTAACTTGAAATCTAGATGCTTTGAAAGGAAAATAAAGATGATTTTGACATTATGGTTTAATAGAGTAATACTCGTATTAGTCATTTCAAGAACTTAACATAATGAAAAGTTTACTTCTAGAATAATTAACACTACACTCCACGAACATTTATTTATATGCTTATACCTTCTAGATTGTGTGTCTTTTTTTTTTATATTCATTTTCTCTAACCTATATTTCCAACATAAAAATATATTTATATGCTTAATTCCATGCCCTACCCTCAACGTTGCTTGCTTGCTTATTGACAAGAAGAGAAAACCAGTGCACCATTTTGCATCCAGCATCGACTGACAAAGAGATTTGAAGTTAATTTCTTGTAACAGTTTTAAAAAAATATATTCATCAACTGTTAATGAGTTTTTTAAACACAAATTGGTGAGTTTATTCTTTCTTTAATGATGAGGGAAAACCACTACAACAGTACAACATACCGGAAATGAAAGGAATAACAAAGGCATGAACAGTGTGGGACATGAAACACACTTGATTAGGAGGGGAGGACAATGAGAATCAAGAGGTCCATGGAAAACTTTTTGAGTGCGGTAGGGCAGAGGGAAGAGAAGGGACATGACAAATAAAAAATCGTCGGTGGCACGAACCCTGGCCAACCAACAGGGTATCGTGGCTGGATTAGGAGACCGTCCTTTCGAAAGTGAAATCAGCGAAAGGGTTGCTCCATGAAACTTCCAAGTCTGATTGAAATGCCCAAGTCTTGGGTGTAACTGGTCTGGACGAGACATCCATGGCCCAACTGCCTCTCAACGTTCCTTTCACTCATCTCTCAACCCCCTCTGGCTAAAAATCATGAACAATCTCAGGAAGAAAAAAAGAGAAAAAAAGGTACTTGGACTTTGTGTGGGACAATGGGAATTGTGTGCTAGGTTGTTTGCTAGTGCATTTAGCAGTAGCAGAACCTTCGACTTTTTATTATTTCCTTGTTTACTATCCATTTTTCAACTGGAGAGTACATGATATGTTTATCCAAGCTTAATTCCTAGCATGACATGTTGGATCATAGATGACAATTTTCCATATTTTACGGGATATTTTAAATCTTTGTTTAATTTCAATCAATACATATGAAATATATGTTTTTTGTGGACGGAAAGTGCAGTAAAGAATTCATATTATTTAACGTTTTAAAAATGAATTTGAATTTTACATCTTATCTATTTCAAAATAATAAAATTAACCCCAACATGAATTATCAAAGGTTATTCGTTTCGAACAAAGAATTTAAGAAAATGATGATTAAGAAATAGTAAAAAATGAAAAAGAGATTATTTATTTATTTATTTATCATGTGGAAGCCAATTGCTGCACTTGTAGACAAGATGGGTTGGAACTTAAAAAGCATCGGGGCCTGTTGGGTTGTGCACCATGAAAACAAGGGAGAAGGAAAAGGTGAAGTACTATTTTTGATAAAAAACAACAGCAAGGAGAAAGGGTCTTCGGTTAACAGCAAAAAGAGAACAGTCTTTGTTGTCGTTGAAACTGAACAGACGGAAAAAAGCTAGCAATGGTTAAGCAACATGTCAAGGGACCCAATTCGATTAAACCCCAAAATGTTTGATCCATGTCTCCTCTTTCGCTCTCTCTCTCATGCTTGGGTTCGCCCACGGGCTCAATTATAATCTTATCTTCAACCTTCAATGTGGGCTTCCATTTTTGCTCTTGTTTTTGACTCCTGATTTGGATTTTCCCCTCCAATGCAAAGTCACTTTTGGTGGTTTCGATCTACTCTCTAGTCCCTGTCTTGAGCTTCCTTTTGATCTCTTTTCCCCTTGTTTACTTACTTTTTCTCCTTTGGGTGTTCTGATATCTGATTTCGACATGTCTCTGTTCTGCATCCTTTCAACTCTACCAACCACTTGTTCCCTGTTCTCTCATATTTCTCTCTCAAACTATCCATAAACTTAGTTCTCCTAATGCCTCTTTCCTTCTCCTATGTTACTTGTTAAGTGACTTTATTGAGGTAGCCGTTCATAAATTATTGATCTCTTATCAGATGTCACATTAGGACCAGGTCCTTCTTAGCTGTTCTCCAAAAGCATTGTCAATTTAGTCATTGTTCAACAATAGCAAAAAAGGGTATCGGAGTTCAACTTGATCAATATTTCATCTTCGTATATATTCCCATTAAGAGTTTTAATAACTTTTAACATATTGTCGCGACGATGTTCTGTATTAACTCAAATGATAATGGTGAAATGAGATTTTGACGAAACTATTAACTTTGAATATTAATGCTTCCTTTTGCACAAAAAGATATTGACTCTCTTGACACTTTTAGTTCATATTTACTCTTCTCTAGAATGTAAAGATAGAAAGGTGCTATTCAAGCACGAGACACTTTCTTATACCATAACTAAGAGAAAATTAGAAGTAAACTATCATTTCTTTCCTTCAATCACAAGAAGGAAGACTACAAATTGGAGGAATCAATTACATACAATTAT